GTATAATCTAAGGTTATATCTAAGGGGGTAGAGACATAGTCTTGCATCTTGAACGTTTTTTTTTTATTCGAAATAATAGTCACAAAGCCTGCCAATTTATGAAAAAATGTATCTTATTTTTATTGTGTTTGACATAAAATATTTAAATTTAATCCATTATTCATGATTTTACGTATTGTAAACAGAAAACATTGTATGTCGCAACCCTTGGATATATCAAATCTTCCCACTGACAGTTCATTTGTTTGGAATGCCTAATACAATTATGACAACCGCCTATATTCAAACAGCAGTCTTCTGCGCATCCTGAATTTGTATCCCTGGAGTGGATGTTATTTTGGAACATCCAATTGGTCCGAGTGAGCGAACTGATTCTTTTAAGCTATAAACTGTGACTTAGCTATCCTCTAGTAATCTAATATAATAATATGTACCTAGTCATTGTTGTAATTGTTTATTATTATTTACCAATCTAGCTTTATCATCGTTCACTGTTTAAGGTTTTAGTAAACCTTTGCAATATTGATACCTTATTATACTATGTATCTAATTTTGTCCAATCGTTCAGTGCTTTATAGGTAGCTTCTTCTATCCCACATGTGTACTTGAGTGTGTTTGTGATATAAGGTGTGTTCTTTTATTCAATAATTGTTCCATCAGTGATTGATGTAATTTATCTTTTCTGCAGTCGTTTTATATTTAAACTCTTATATTTTAGGTTAACTTAAATAATCGTGTTCACACGTTCAAACAAATTGATTAACTATCCTCACCATTCATCTATCACATATCCATTGGCTTTTAAAGCCGATGGATGTGTTGGCTCATTGGTGAACTCACCGCTGGAAAAAAGAATGATTGATACATACAATCGTCTTTCCATCACTTAATTTACGAACGGTTTGCTGCAAGCGCTGGATACAGCACTGAATAAAAGAACACGTCTATACCTACCTCTACTTTTGTGATATTGGTACTTGATTTCAAGAACATTTCATTAATAAATTTATATAAATATTTTGTTTTATTTAAAATTTTCATGTCTCGATTGAGATTTTACTATAACCTCAATTTCAGCCTCTCTGTATTACATTACACAATGTGTGTCCACGGATGGACTTAATTATACTTGTAAAAATATTTATTTTAAATTAAAAAAAGTTATTTTTCATAATTTCTTAATGTGAATCGAATTTATTTAACAAGTAAAAGAAATTATGAAGAATTACTTTTTTAATTTAAAATAAATATTTTCACAAGTATAGTTAAGTCCATCCGTGGACACACTGTATAATACTGTAGAACTAATTCACATTATAACATCTATAGAAAGTTTCAGAGCAACTTTTAGGGCAAGTACCGTAAAAGTGCTAGTGTCATGTTTTCCGAACTTCACTTTTATAACTTCTGTGAGATGTGCTATAAAAGTCTTGCCGTTGCGGACATTCGGTGGTTGCAGGGATATAAGGGTTACCGTAAAAGTACATCGCATGTGAGCTTAAAGAGCCTAAAATTGCAGCTTATTAACGTAGATGGGATGTTTTTGTGCTAGCTGGGTAGTCATAGTTAAAAAATGAGGTGGCAAATATTTCGGCAGTGGATTGGCAAAAAACTTAAGAAAGTACAAAATAATTTGGCGTCGAGGATGGGATTAATCCACTGAGGGCATCTATTAGAGGGACTAACTTCTCAGCCATACTTTGAACTCTTTTTTCTAGTTAGACTGAAGATTATTTTACGTAATTTTTCCAATCGTCGCCAAATTATTTATTTTGTACTGATTGAAACGATAATACCCGCGTATTTAAATATTTATTATAAAGCTTTGACGTTACAAAAAATATCATGACATGAATTGAATTAAGTCAAAAAATATGAAATATAAAAACTATACATCTAACGACTATGAAGACTAGTCCTCATACTAACTGTTGTATCACCTTAGCCACTGCGATCCGGCATCGTGGCTAGAGACACAGGGTCCTAACCTAACTCTTTGTTACCGGCATGTGGTATGTACTACTAAACGTTCTGATAAACTTATGTGAACTAATAAAGAAGTTTATATGTTTATTAGAATTATTAGTGTTGTAAATCTACCTAACACTAACGACTAACTTAATATACAGTATATAAATGCTCTATTAAATATATAACCATTTGCCATAGAAACAGCTTTATCAATCGAAATTGCAAGTGATCGGGTGTTAATACTGTTACGCAGCACCCAGCATTAGCCTGCGGCTATTATAGGAAACATACAGATAGAAAAAGAAGTGGAATGTCACTCATCGCCCTACAGTGTTCTGCGGTCGTCATAAGTACAAGTAAAAGAAGATAGAATAGTCCAGAAATGTATCGAAATGTCATTACCCGTCAAGAATATTCTAGATGACAGTTCGAGAAGGATCGAGCTATATAAGGATGATCCTGACGTCAGTTACTTGTTAATGTTATCAGTTGTATAATTGTTGCTAAAGTTGAGTTGAAATAAATTGTGATACCAAAAACCAGCGTAACAATACCATTCAATCCAGACCTAAATGTCATCTTGGCAACAGATGCGAGTCCATATGGATTGGCAGGAGTTTTATCTCATCGATTCCAAGATGGTACAGAAAGGCCAATAGCTTTTATATCCAGATCTTTAACCAAAGCCGAACAGAATTACAGTCAGCTAGACAAAGAAGCTACTGCAATATACTGGGCTTGTAAGAGACTATTTCAATATATCTACAGGCGTAAATTTACTTTAATTGTTGACAATAAACCACTTTTTCAATTTTAAATCCACAAAAACAACTACCAACCTTATCAGCAACTAGAATGTTACATTATGCGCAGTTTTTAGCTGTAGGTGTTTGATAAGATGTTGGTAACGGGAAAAGAAGCACCACAAGTTCTGAGTAACTCTTTAATGTTGTAATGCAGTACATTAGACATCGTGGTAAGTTGTAACTCACTAGCGATAAAAAAGGCGGGCAGGTTCGAGTGACAGTTGACATATCGTCTCGTGTTCCACGACCCTGACCTTGCTGTCATGCTGACAACTGACAGTACACTAGAGTGGAAAAAGCCAACATAACAGTAGGAAGTCTTCAGAACATTCAGACGCAGATTATTTTTTAAGGGACCCTATAAAATTAACTCCAGAAAAAGAAAAATACATCGATAGCGTATATTTAACAAATATTGATCTATTTCATAAAACAAGTACAGATACTATAACCGCTGAACGTATAATAAAAGAAACAAAGCATGATCCTGAATGATCTAGACTCATAGAAGAATTACTTCAAGGAAGTAGAAGAGATCCTGAATTATATCTACAAGATGGTATACTTTTTAGAGGTCACCGTGTTATTATACCAAAGTGCTTGCAACCATCTATTATACAAAAACTACACTCTACACATTTAGGAATCGTTAAGATAAAAGCACTGGCCTGGAACTATTGTTATTGGAAAAACATTGACTCTGATATTGAAAATTTAGTTAAAAGTTGTTTAGCATGTAGTAACGTCCAAAAAGATCCAACGAAATCACCCATACACCATTGGGAATGTCCTGAGAGAAACTGGCAAAGAGTACACATGGATTACGCAGGTCCATTTTTAGGACACCACTTTTTGATTGTTATTGACGCCAAATCTAAATGGCCAGAGATCATGATGATGAAAAGTGCTCCAACAACCAAAAATACTATTTATTATCTCAGAGAGATTTTTAGTCGTATCTGTCTACCTGAAATGTTGGTGAGTGACAATGCTACAATATTCAAATCTAAGGATTTTTTGTATAAGAAATGGGATAAGTCAGAGATTCATTGCACCAAGCTATCCATCTACAAACGGGCAAGCAGAAATATACTGTCAGACACTTAAGGCAAAACTTAAACGAATGATGCACGAACCAGGAGATCTTCATGAAAAATTATGCAGAATATTGTTTAGGTACCGGGTTACATCAGGAAAGTCACCATCTGAAAATTTATTTGGAAGAAATATTAGGACAAAATTAGATTTGCTACGGCATGAATCAAAGGAAAACAACAGAATACCTATAGATTCTAAGAAATATTTCAATGTAGGTGACCGGGTACAATCTAGAAACTATTCAACAACCATTAAGTGGAAGTATGGCATAGTAATTCAACGTTTAGGTCGATTACATTATCTAGTGGAACTAGATGATGGATATAAAATTAAACGTCATTATGACCAACTTCGTCCCAGCAATGTTGACCATTCTAAAAAATTTTCAAATACTAGTGATTAATGATATTAATGATACAATTATATCAAAGGAATTAAGTGTACCCTTGGAATCTAAAGATCACGAGACGAATGTTGACCATCGAAAAGAAACTAGCCAGACTGAAATAACTGACATGACTCTAGACCTTGAATATAAACCAATTAATAAAGAAAACCCCAATCCACGTCTTCAAGAGAATCAAGAAAATCAAATACCATCACATCCGTCCAAACCACCGCAGGTTTTGAGGAGATCCACTAGAATCCGTAATCCCATTCAAAGATTTATTGAATGTCTCAGAAATTACAAGGGGGAGAATTGTTATATATTTAATAGAGCAGTTATATACTGTATATTAAGTTAGTCGTTAGTATGAAGACTAGTCTTCATAGTCGTTAGATGTTTAGTTTTTATATTTCATATTTTTTGACTAAATTCATTTCATGTCAAGATATTTTTTGTAACGTCAAAGCTTTATAATAAATATATTAATACGCGGGTATTAACGTTTCAATCAGTACAAAATAATATGTAGTGCCTGTACTTACATTTTATAAAAGCAATAAAAACGACCGAATAAACCATTGAACTTTTTATTTATATAAAATTCTAATACGGTCAGGAAATTATCCTTTTTCAAAAATGAATTAAGAGTTAATTGTTTAATTATCAATTTGGCGTGCAAGGCTGTGCTAGCTTGATATATATTAATATAATATGTTTGATGTATTTCCAACACTTACCTAACCGTGTATGAAAAGCTGGATCGATTCCGTCTGCAATACAACCAATTAAACCTAAGCCGCCGGCGTGTGCATCGATCATGGATGCACCAACTGCTGTACCGGCTTTAAGACCAAATTGAGCAGCCGCACTTTGGGACAATCCGTTGCCCACAGGTGTACCAGGTGGTAACACAAGAGAACCTATTTTTTTCCAATTGTTTGCTGCCAAGTCATCCAAACCGATTTGTTCGAAATAAGATTTATTCCAACCTTCCCTACAATCTGTTTCTGAAATTTCGTAGGTCCATTTGCATACTAAAGAACAAGATGATCTAAAAAAAAATAAAATGTAATGATAAAAGGTGAAAAAATATTTTTTAATGTTAACCAGTGACGACTTTGGTGTGTAATAAACCTGGCCGAGGGTTGATCATAAGGTCACACAGGTAAATTATCCACACAGGATTAATTAAATAAAATCAGGATTAACTTTTATTGTAATAGCAACAGTCGGCTTCACACACAGAATAACCAATAAACATAATGTCAAGAATGTCATCTGTCATTGTACAGTACCAACTTAAAAATAATAACATTAGGCATTTTATAGAGGTTCTAACATTCGTCCATCCTGACAAAAATGCGACCTCGCATTTAAAGTAATCCTAAAAAAAGTTTTTTTTTTTTTTTTTTTTTTTTTTATATATAAAGAACAAAAAAAAATTTAAATTTTAGCATGAACACAAAAATAGCTGAAGGCTTAATAGCAAATATAGTCTTTAAATTTATTAGGTCTTCGTTTTTCTCTCTTCTTTTCTACAATTTCCGTCTCGCTTGCTTGATCATCATCCATATCTTCTAATTTCGCTTTCTTTTTAGCGCTGTTCTTCTCATTGGGTTTTTCGTCTAGTTTAGGTTGTATTGACATGGATTCGGATTCATTTTCTTCATCTGTAGTTATGTCTTCGTCACTTTCATATGAGTTGTAATAGCCTTTTATTTGGGAAACATGGGCTGTTGTAATCTGCTGTCGTTCTCCATCTTCACTACATAGTTTTTCTATCTGATATGTATTTCCTGGCATTTTTTTCAGTACTACATATGGACCTTTATATTTCTTTTGTAATTTTGTACTTTCTCCAGTAGCTGTAGGTGAGGCTTTGACTACAATAATTTCTCCTATATCATATTCATGTCCAATATATCTTTTCTTATCAAATTGTTCTTTCATTTTCTGCTGTCCTTTAATCATATTTTCTTTGGCAATTTCTCTCAAATTAACTAGAGATGTTGTGGGATTAACTTCAGTTAGAGCATCTAATCTGGGGTCGTCTAAACTAGGTATGTAACCAAATAGTAATTTATACGGAACTTGTCTAGTCGTCTTGTTTATAGAGGTGTTCAGATTCCATTGAACTTTTCCTAAACATTGGTCCCAACTTTTCTCTGTTTTCATCTCTGCTTGTATGACTGGTATAAGAGTTCTGTTTACTCTCTCAACCATTCCATTTCCTTGTGGGTGTCGAGGGGAATTAAATACTAACTTGATGCCCTTGGAGATGCAAAAATCTTTAAAACTGGTGGCTGTGAAACAGGTTCCACGGTCACATACTATAGTGTTTGGAATGCCAAACTTAAAAATAAGGTCTTCCATTGCTCTTATTACACAAGTACTTTTGGTACTTCGAATAGGATATAAATTGACAAATCGTGTAAAGGAGTCTATTACTACAAAAAGGTACTGGTTTCCTGTGGATGATTTAATAAATGGACCAAGATTATCGATATGAATTCTGATAAATGGTCTATTAGTTGGTGGAATTGGATTTAGCAACCCTGGTTGTTTACCTGAAGGTAATTTGTTAATTATACATTCCATACAACTTGAAATATGTCTTCTTGTATAACTCTTTAATTTAGGAAACCAAAATTTCTCTAGAATTCTTGAAACAGTTCTGTCAACTCCAAAATGTCCGGTTAAATCGTGATTCTTTACAAGAATACTTTTTCTCATTGTACTGGGTACTACAAATAGTTTTCTTTCTTCTCCGTTTATTAATTTAGTTACCATCAATCTTCCTGAGATTAGCTTATATTCTTTTGTCATATTTATTTCTTCTTTACTTCTTTCTCTGGAAGTTTTTGTTAATATATCTATAATGGGTTTTAGTTTTTCATCACTTCTCTGGATCATAATAATTTGGGATTCTTCAGTTAGTGTAGTAAGAACTGTTAGTCTTTTATCTAGGAGTTGATCGTGTGTATCAGTTGATTCTTCTACAGGTGCTCTGCTTAAAGCATCTATATGGGCCATTCGATCTCCTTTCCTAAATTCAAATGCATAGTCATACTCTTGTAGTGTACTAAACCAACGTGCAGTCTGGGGGTTGGTACTTTTATTATTGTTTAAAAATACGATCGCCTGACAATCTGTAATGATCTTAAATTTTATTCCGATGAGTAGGTTTCTAAGACGTTCTACACTCCATATTACCGCTAATAATTCCAGTCTTGTAGAATGATATTTGCTTTCATGTTCGGTTAACTTTTTTGAAACACAATATACTAATCTATTTTTACCATTTTCATCTTTTTGAAGGAGTATACCCGCTATTCCAATAGAACATGCGTCCGTGTGTAATTCGGTTTCGGCATTAAAATCATATAATTTTAGTACGGGAGCTTGAGTTAAAATGTTTTTGAGTTTTTCAAACGCGTCTCGACATTCGCGATTAAAATTAAAATCACAACCTTTTTTTGTTAAGTCCGTTAATGGTTTGGCAATTACTGCGTACTTTTCAATAAATCGGCGGAAAAACCCTGAAAGTCCTAAAAATCTGCGCACTTCATGTACGTTAGTAGGTTCTGGAAAATTTTGCAAAGCTAAAAGTTTATTTGAGCCCGGTTTTAGTCCTTGTTCACACACTGTGTATCCGAGATATTCAATTTCCGTTTTACCGAAAACGCACTTCGTTGGATTAAGTGTCAATTTGGCACTCCGAAAAGCTTCGAGCACTAGTTTTAACCGTTCTAAAAGCTGATTCCAGTCTTTCGCGGGAACTATGACATCGTCCAAATAAGAACAACATATTTTATTTCGCAGTGGCCCTAATACAATGTTCATAAGACGCACAAATTCATATGGTGCATTAGTAAGCCCGAAAACCATTCGTTTATATTCGCCCGTAGTATCCGGTGTTATAAAGGCAGTCTTTTTGCTCGCGTTTTCTGTTAACGGCACTTGTAAATAACCATTTGCTAAGTCTAAACATGCAAAAATTTTACTACCAGATAAATATTGAAATTGCTCATCGAGATTGGGCATTGGAAAATTCACAGGTACAGTTTGTTTATTTAGTTTTCTAAAATCGACTACTAATCGTGGATCACCATTTTTCTTGCGTACTATTAGAACTGGAGATGCATATGGACTTGTAGTTTCAGTAACTATACCACAATTTTTTAAGTCCTCTACAATTTTTGCTATAGTCTCACGGTCGGCAGATGAAACTTTGTATGGCTGACATCTAACGGGAACATTTGTATCAACTATATCCATTTTTGTTAAATCGGTGCAACCCAACTCGTTTAATTTTAAAGCAAAACAGTCCCGATATTCATTAAGTAAGTTAATCAAATTCTCGCTATTATCAATTGAAACATTACTAGCAATATTTACCATGTCTTTTGTAAGCGGATTGTAACTAAATTCATTTTGATTTAAAATATGTTCTGGCTTTCCAGGATTTTCTAAAATTTTGAATTCTTGATTAGATTTTAATTCAAAGGCTTTGTCGCTAGTATTGTATATTCTCAAAATTTTGTTTTCGTTATTTTTAATAACATTTACATCTCGTTTTGAAAATGCTGAAATTTTAGTATCAGATATAGTTTTAAATCTATGAGGCACTGAGTTTATTATAACATCAATATCTAAATCTTTGAATGGCTGATTTTCTGCAAATCCAAAAACTAATTCTTCACCTTTGCTGACACAAGCGATATTCGGTAGTTCACAAAAATTTCTACCAATAATTAAATCTGTGTCCTGTGCACTATCAGGAACTATACATAAATCGATATTCTCAATAACTGCTAAATCTATTTGCAATTTTACATACGCTTTTCCAGGTCAATATATAGCTGGTTGTGAATTACCACCAAAAGCATACAATGGCTGTATTACATCTACCGTTTTTAATTTGAATTTTTCCACAATTTTATTTTTTATAGTAGATACAGAGCTACCAGTATCAATAAACCCTTTTACCAAAATTGAATCATTGATTAAAACATTTTTCAAAAACTTGCCTTCAGAGCATTTGTCAAGATTATTAATATCAATTTGTTTTTCAATTGAGTTCACATTTGCCCTACTTTCCCCTAACAGATCATTATTTGCATTAAATGCAGGTGCACTATCATTTAATATTCGGATATGCTGACGTGTAGCTGTATTTGAATTAAAAGTTGCAGGGTTTGCAGTTTGTCCTCTAGGAATAAATCGTTTATTTTCATTTGGACAATTAGACACAACATGACCTTCTTGTTTACAAGTAAAACATACTGGATTTTTACGTGTGCATTGCTCAGATGTATGATTTATTAACCCACACTTGTAGCATTTTCTTTGTCTATACGTACTATTATTATAAAAAGGTTTTTGATTTTCTACAATCTGAATATTTCGCTCTGGCTTACTAGTGTTTTTAATTCTTTCAATAGCTAAAATGTCTTTTAATAATGAATCAAAATCGTAGTGAATTTTTACCATTAAGCTTAATGCTATTTCTTTTTGTAATAACCCATTTAAAATTTCTTCCTTACAATCATCAAATTGTAAATTTAATTTTTTACACAGTTCGACTTTTTCATAAAAATATGACATAATACTTTCCCCTTTGTTTTGTTTTCTATTTTTCATCTTTTCCCATTTTTCTGAAATCCCTTCTGTTCTAATATAAGTCTTTTCGAACTCTTTTTTAAAATCATTCTAAGTAAATATTAATTCACGTTTTACATCAAACCAGTGTGTAGCTGGTCCCTTTAAATAAGCCCTAGCAGTTTCAAGTAAGTAATTATCTACTAGTTTCTAAACTGTTTATCCATTTTTCAGCTTTATACAAATCTTTATCACCATCAAAATACCCTATTATACGTGATAAATCTGGTAAAACATGATGTGTATGAGAGGCTGAAGAAACAGCTGATGCATTGTTATCTTCCTGATTATTTGAATTAGGAGTTAGGCGTTCTAAAACTGACATGAACATTTCATCGCGTCTGCGATTTTCGGAAATAAACATATCCATCATTCTTTGAACATAAATATCTGAATGGTTAATCCTACCTTGTAAGTTTTCGTCATTAAAGTTACCGTGACCATCCAAGCTATCGGTTTCATGCCCATTATCTGCATTTGAAGACATTTTGTTTATTTTTTTTTTTTTTTGTCGTTTCGAATTCACACAGTTTCAGTTTTGTTTATTAGCAATTCACACAGGTTTAAGAGTTTTGAGACCGCACACAGAAGGTCCACTTTCTAACGTTTATTCACCTTTATTTTTATTAATAGTTTGAAAGTTTTACCGAACCGACACGCCGTATTTTTTTTTGAAGTCGAATATCTACGAAAATACGTGATGGCATTCAGATCCTACTTCTGAAATGTAATAAACCTGGCCGAGGGTTGATCATAAGGTCACACAGGTAAATTATCCACACAGGATTAATTAAATAAAATCAGGATTAACTTTTATTGTAATAGCAACAGTCGGCTTCACACACAGAATAACCAATAAACATAATGTCAAGAATGTCATCTGTCATTGTACAGTACCAACTTAAAAATAATAACATTAGGCATTTTATAGAGGTTCTAACAGGTGTTAAAATTTTTTCGTCCCTGTGACCACACCATCTCTATCGCATTGTACTGGCAGTGATATGGAGAAGGAGTTCTTAATATTTTATGCTCATATTACTCAATATATCTATCTACGTGGAATTCTTTTCGTGGTAGATTTTGACATACAACCCCAGTATGAAGACTAGAGATAAGGAAGCGAATCGGCATACTCAAAATACGGTCCCAAAAAACGCATGCTAATTGAGCTTCTATAATTAACCTCATGGGCGCTAGTACTGCATACGGTGTTCAAAATACATGGCATCTTATGGGAATTATACATAATTTTCTCAAAATAATAGCTAAATAAAGCACAGAGTTCTCGATATTAACTTTATACTTATTTTATTTCCCTTTTAGTAAAAAGTATTATTATTTTGTATATAAGGTGTGTTTAAGACATTTAATTTTAAGTAGTATAAATACATTTTTCTCGAGATCGACTCAAAAAGCACTCGCGATTAACCTGTCGATCGCGATCGACCGTGTTCAATATTTATTCGATTACCTAGAATCTGCATCTGTCGCTTTCCACGTTAAAAAGTCAGGTAAGTCAAAAAAATAACCGGCTTTGTCCCAGCAATCTGCCTTCAAGTTTCTTTTCAGCCATAGTAACTTGGGTGTTTCCATTTCTGGAGAAATTTTACCGCCTACATATTTTAGAACTGGATGCTTAAGATTATTTATTTCGTCGGCTTCTTTAACTGCCCTGTGGTCCAACCAAAGGATAACGTTCTGATCATTGTTTCCTGAAAAGCAAAAGAATAAATTGCGTTTAAAATAATAAATAAATACAATAATATTTTACAACAATCAGAAAGAAACAGTCAACTGTCGGGAAATTGGTGACCCTTAGTCGGCGTTGATGGGGATGATGACCATTATATTTTGATAGTTTGTGGGCCATCAATCATTAATTGATTTTGGCCTAAAACTATCCTTCAACCTGCCCTCTCACAAATCCTATATTTGCAACGAAATAGCCAAAATGAGAGCAGCAGATGCTTTAATTGCGGAAGAATTGGACACCTTCAAAGAACCTGTCGAAGCAGGGCTCGCTCTAAGAATCGAGAATCGGAGAGTGATACTAGAAATTCATCTAAATCAACCTCCCGAAGCCCGTCACGAAGTCTAACAAGGAATAATTGTAGCAGATATGCCTCCCGAAGAAGCCGGTCACCCACACCTAGCCGGCTTTCTAACAATAGTTAGGGAAACGAATAAAGGTCGACACTACGGGGCAGGCGTCGGATGTGACAGAGGGTCCCACTTTAAATAAAAACGAACAAAATCTATTGATCAAGGGATATATCGATAACCAAGAAGGCACCTTCATCCTTGATACTGGTGCAACTAAGTCTTTCATTCGAACAGGAATCCTACATCGACAAACACGACCAACTCGAAGAAACTTAGTTCTGGAAACAGCTACAGGGCACACTTCCTGTTCTAGGCGAGATATCAGCAACCGTACCGGTTGGTAATACCCTGATAGAACACTTATTTCTGGTGGCCGATATTAAAGATCAGTGTATCCTGGGTATGGACATTATTGCAAAATAAGTTTATTATCGACCTTCAAAACAAAATCTTGGTAATTGGAAACGAAAAAAATTTTCAAAAATTCGGAAGAAAAGACTCAACCGACAAAAGTCCTAGTAGAAGAAGATATAGAAGTACCCCAAAATTCTGAAGCTGTCGTCTCCACGAGAAATCACACGGCTTGCATGTGGGCATTGTGGAAAGTGAAGAATCCGTGACGAATTTCTGGTAGCTAGATGTCTCGTTAACGTTGATCAACTAATTTCAGTAAGGGTTGCCAATTTAACGTAGAGGCCATTCAAACTGAAGAAAGGACAAGCAATAGGGCTCTGTACACCGGTCGAAAACATAACTAAGTGCGAAGACCGTTCCACGGGGAAAGCTATCACAAGTAACTCAGTGGACGCCAGCTTCGTAAAACAGCTAGTTTAAAATTATGACCACCTGACAGCTCAAGAACTTAGGAAAGTCAAAGAATTCATCAATACCAACGGTGACATTTTCGAGACAGGAAAATCTGCGTGACCAGTCTTGTTCAGCATAGAATTGATACGGTGATGCAAGGCCAATACGACAAGCACTCAGAAGACTTCCATTTGCTAAACAAAAAGAAGCAGCAAATATGATGTAGGACATGATGGCTGCAAATATCATTAAAGAAGCTTCTGGTCCCTGGTGCTCACCTGTGGTCCTAGCATCTACTCGTTTCTGTGTAGACTATCAAAGACTAAATCAGATAACACAGAAGGACAGCTATCCACTCCCCCGAATAGACGACACACTAAATACTCTATCAGGTGCAAAATGGTTTTCCACGCTAGACTTGAAATACGGATACTGGCAAGTAGAAGTACATCCTGATGATCGAGACAAAACTGCTCTTTCAATTGGCAGCGGATTATACAGATTTCAGGTTCTCCCGTTTGGTCTTTGTAATGCCCCAGCTACCTTTGAACGTCTAATGGAAATGGTTCTGAAACAGGGTTACCAGGTTTTTGAAAGAGATGACGGACAGACAGGGGATTTTAGGGGAAATAGGGGGAAGTAAAAACAACTCGGTCTATTTTTACTCTTTTAATCAAAATTACTTATTTTGCAAGAAATCCTTACCTAATTTTGGTAAAGATACACTGAGGTGATTTTACAAATAATAAGGTGAAAATGTAAAGTTAGAAAATCGAGAAATCGCAAATCGAAATCCAAAGTCAGAAAACATTTTTACCTTATTATTTGAAACACCTCAGTCTATCTTTACCAAAAAATAGGTACGGATTTTTTACAAAATAAGTAATTTTGGTTAAAAAAATGAAAATAGACAGAGTAGTTTTTACTTCCCACTATTTCCCCTAAAATTCCCTGTCTGTCCGTCATATATTTCAAAAACCTGGTAACCCAGTTCTGAAAGGATTAACCTGAAAAACTTGTTTAGTATATCTAGATGACATAATGCTCATGTCAAAAACTTTTGAAGAACATCTACTAAATTTGAGAGAAGTATTTGACAGATTAAGAAATGCCAATCTAAGGCTTAATCACAATAAATGTTCACTGTTTCAGTTGGAAGCCTATTATCTGGGACACATCGTTTCCGCAGAAGGAATCAAAACTGACCCGGAGAAAATTAAAGCTGTCAGAGATTGGCCGAAATCCAGAGACAAAAGAGAAATTAGAAGTTTTCTTGGACTGTGTTCATATTAGCGAAACTTCGTCAAAGACTTTGGTCAAATTGCTAAACCCCTTCATCGACTAACTAAAAATAGTAGTCTATTTGACTGGATGCCGGATTGTCAAAATGCCTTCACCGAGTTAAAAAAACGATTGACCACGGCACTCATCCTAGCATACCCTCGGGAAAAAGGACAATTCATTTTAAACTGCGACGCATCCCAACACGGCGTGAGCGCCGTGCTATACCAAGAACGGGACGGGGAAGAGAAAGTAATTGCGTATTTTAGTAAGACCTTAGGAAAAGCTAAGAAGAATTATTGCGTGACAAGAAAAGAACTTTTAGCCATTGTCAAAGCCCTCGAACACTTCCACACCTATCTTTTTAACAGAAGTTTTATAATTAGAAGTGACCATAGCGCCTTGCAGTGGCTGATGAATTTTAAAAAACCTGAAGGACAAGTTGCTAGATGGATAGAAAGACTGCAACAATACAACTTCGAATGGGATGTCTCCATAGCAACGCAGACATTCTTTTCAGGCGACCGTGTTTAGATCGACAATGCCGGTACTTTAAAAGGCTTGAAAAACGAGAGGAGCTGGTTGAAGAAGTTAGTCTTTAGGCGACCACTATCAAGCCAGAGGATAACGAAGACGGAATTATCCTTGAAAGCCTAAGAAAGACAATGACTTGAAGGTTGTCTGAGAATGGCTTATAAATGGAGTCAGACCTACATGGCAAGATATATCCAAATATAGTGGAACTGTTAAAGGGTACTGGACTCAGTGGGATTCCCTGTATCTTCACGATGGCCTATTGCACCGGAAGTGGGAGAGCCCAGATGGAGTACATGTAGTCTGTTTAGTGATACTGCTAAAATCACAGGTCAGAAGTTTGTTGGAGGAGTTTCATAGCAGTCGCTCAGGAGGACACTTTGGTACTAAAAGGATACTTGAACGAGTTTGGGAAAGATTTTATTGGGTTAATTGCCGACGGGATGTAAAAGATTGGTGTAAGGAATGTGACCTTTGTAATGGCAGAAAGGGCCCAAAACAAGAAGTTGAGATAAAATGGCGCAGTACCTTTCCGGAGAGCCTTTCGAACGAATCGCCATAGATATCCTCGGATCACTTCCCTTAACAGAAAGAGGAAACAAAGACTTGTTGGTTGTTATGGACTATTTTTCAAAGTGGCCCGTAATAGTGCCTATTCCTTATCAGGAAGCGACGACAGTAGCGGAAGCATTTATGACAAACGTTATTGCGAGACACGGAGTTCCCCTGGAATTACATTCTGACCAAGGACGAAATTTTTAATCCGAATTATGGCAAGAATTGATGAAACTGTTAGGCATTAAGAAATCACGCACGACGCCTCTCCATCCACAGTCCGACGGAATGGTAGAAAGTCACAATAGAACGATATGCCAGTATCTTTCAATGTTCGTCTCTGATAAGCAAAAGCACTGGGACACTTTAATACCTTTATTTCTGCTATCCTATCGAAGTTCTGAACATGAAACGACTAGTTATACTCCATCCATGATGATTATTGGAAGGGAGATTAAACTTCTCCATGATCTTCTTTTTGGAAGGCAGCCTCCTGGTGAAGAAGAGGACCGTACACCTCCCATGTACATACAGAACTTAAGAGACAGATTAGAGATGGTATATGAATTCGCTCGGCAACGTTTGAAAGTTAATAGCGATAAAGCAAAAACTAGAATCGACATTCATGCCACAGGAACACATTTTGAGAGAGGCGATTCAGTATGGCTATACAATCCCAAGCGTTTAATAATAATTTGTAAATAGCTGTTGAAATTTTATAAAATTATGATTTAAATATTATAATACATGTTTAATAATTATTTATAGTCCATAAATATTTTTGTATCAATATTTCTTCAAAGTAAGAGTTTTGATGGAATCTCAGGAAAATAGGAAATAAGTATTAAAATAGTTCCTGTTTTATAACAGTACAATTATATATTAAAATTAACACACCCATGGTTCCTCCTATTTTAAAAATAAATGATTGTATAGTATTTATAGATATTTAAAATACCACAATAAAGTATATTTCTTACCTGTTGGACTCACGGAGAGTGGTGCACCAGATTTATCAAAACATGCCAAAGAACAAGTGGCATCAAACCCAATTCCTATAACTTTTTCAGGATCGACACCTTCAGTAATGGACTGTAAAAAACAACGTTTTATGAGCTATTAGATTGTATTAGAATGAGTATAGGATTATGGGCCCATCTCAAATCTCAACCCTATAAGACTTACACATTTACAAAGTAACATATAATTCAATTTTCTACTCTTAATAATAATTAAAATCTATATTTTCATAATGTACCGATTAATTATAAGTTTATATCGTGAATAACATTCAAATTATATTTCATCTCTGATTGTGAAAAAAGCTGAAGATCAGCTGTATTCTACAAGATCTACCCAGACAGCACACCAAATCCTTTGGATATCTACTGGTCATCCCAATATCCACTGAATGTCCAGTCCATGGTGGATATCTATTTTATATCCATGAGATATAATTAATAGACATGCAAATGTCCATTATTAATAGTAATTATATAACAAATTATTAAAAAGTTACGCTATTGGGGCTAATAGTACCGTTTAGATATTTAAAATTAATTTTTTTTTAAGGTGTATTCAATATCCCTTGGATATCCACTAAATATATCAAAGACTAGGCGCGAACGCAAACCATGGTGGATATCCACTAGATGTAATTTATTTATTTATTTATTTATTCACGGGTAACCCCATTAAAAAAAAAATACAATATTAATTAGAATAAAAACAGCAAAATAAATACTTAACAAAATACTAAACTAATACTAATATAGGTAATATAAAATACTATACAAAATATAAAATATAACGGCATCAAATAATAATTATAAAATCAGTTAGAAAATGAAGACAAAAAAAAAATGTTAGACTTCCATATTATTTAAATAAGTCCTGAGCGCATTAATAGTTCCAAAAATATCACAATTTTTACATTTCAACTTATTACATTCACGTAACATTCGACTTACTGGTGAATTAAAGGCATAATTAGTGGTATGTAGTGGTATATTAAATAAGTCGAATTGTCTAGTCCTACTAAAAGTATTAAAATTATTAAGACCTACTGCTTGGGGAGAATCAATATTCCCTGTTAACAATTTATTTATAAAAATTATATCAGAAACTGTTCTTCTAAAGTGAAGTGATTTTAAGTTTAATTGAGAGTTAATTGAAGCATATGAGTAATCTCCTCTTATATAACCCATTTTATAGGCGCATATTCTCAAGAATTTATTCTGAATGTAATATGGATGTAATATGTACCTAAATATCGGAAAATATGTGAATTGATTTAATAATTATTAAATTACTTAAATATTACGCCTTGTGATGACTAAGAAAGCATGTATATGTAAAATTAGTGAGTTGTATTCAATATCCCACAGATATCCGCTAGATGAATATTATTGGCAATGAACGCGAGCGCAGGCGAGGATATTTTCTGCCCTCACAGGTGCCATCGGCCATTTTATAGTTTGTTTTCGTTTTTTTTGTGTGTGAATGAGTTTCATTTGATAATATTGAATTAAAATTAGGTAAGTAAGTTTTAAAACCTAAATTTATTAGTGTCAAAGGTTGATAGACTTTAGTTAAATAAGACAATGGTTAAATTCACGTTATTAAGATTGTTAAGTAGGTTGTATGAAATGTACGTTAAAAACCGTGTCCTTTAGGTAATTCACAACTAGAAACTCATTTCGTTTTTACGATACCCTATTTTATTATAATTAAGAAGGTTGTTATTTTACCTACCTTCATATACCTACTTATTTCATGTGATTATTATTGTTGGTGATTCGGTTTGGTTTTTATTGTTTAATGGTTGTTATAATTAATAGATGATTTCAACGGAAGACATCTTGAAGTTGCAAGGTCATTGGAAGATATTTGCGCCATCTATAAGTTTACATAACAACTGATAAAATAAAAAAGAAAACTGTAAATTATTATTTTGGCAATCTGTCTAAGGTTACGGCGTCGGTATTCATTTATTTTCTTTTTTCTTTGTCTTCTTCATTAATTGTATGTGCTCAGTTTTTCACCATCTCTATCTACTTAGTGTCAGATCCCAGAGTCTTCTTTTTCTTAGTCATGTGATATGTCAAAATTTGTAAAAACATAAAACAAATTGAGGTTACAATCTCTGGTTTTGTTTTTGAATTATTTTTTGCATTTATTTTCAAAATACTAGCTTAGAAATACAAAGAAAATTATGAAAAGTAAAGTTAAAAGGTAGGTGTGCACCTTTTGTTTACTACTTTAAATTTCAAATTGAATAGATGTATTTATCATTATTTTTATGTATTATTATGACTGCGCCCATACAACTAAAGAAGAAGGCAAGAAAAAAGAAGAAATTTATGCTGACGCCGCCGTAACTTTAGACAGATTGCCAAAATAATAATTTACAGTTTTATTTTTTTATTTTATTAGTTATGTAAACTTATAGATGGCGCAAAGATCTTACAATGATCTTGCAACTTCAATATGTCTTCCGTTGAAATCATCTATTAGAAAGAGGCATTTTTTTCACTGGTTAAGGTCACAAAGCACATAGAGGTTCCACGTGAATGACCAAGGTCAAAACCGACAACTGACATTTCTTATGCTATTGACTCCAAACTCTAGATGGGGCTACTGGTGAAATTATTAATTCATACTCCATTTTTAGTTTTTATGGGCGAAAAACTTAACCAATGAATCCACAGATCTGACGTGTATTTATTATAGTCTCATTTTTCCGTCTGATTTTAGTGATTTTTTTGTTGGCTTTGGCTTTTGGTTTCTGTTTATAGTTTCGTCTTAGTTATTTGCAAAATTGTGATGTTTTGCTTTTCTATTTCCTACTGTGTTTTGCAATAATTTTGGTGCTACGTTGAAAACTTTGAGAAAAACTTCATTATTTACCATGCATCATAAAAAGACAAACGGGTAATCAATTTATTACTGGACTAGATTTTTCACATAAGAGAGTATACCATCTGTATTTGGAAGGAAAATATTTATCAGTGAATGAATAGTTAAAAGGATTCACCTTCCTCCTGGCTCACGAGCTAGGAGGTGCCTATCATCTTAGGAGGATGAACAATGGGCCTAATGAGACATAAGTGCCGTGGGGTAACCCACCCTCCACACGTTACAGATACAGAGAGGATTCACCTTTTAATCCAATACCTATATTACATTTATCCTTCAAGTAAAAAGACATTTATAAAATATAACTTTATTGTTAATAAAATGTTATATCCTAGTTTCTACTTCACATTATAATATATTGATATTTTAAAGATTTGAGATTGTATACCTATTTACTCCAGGTAAGTATTCGTTAAATATGTATTATTATTTGTATTTATTTTGTTCTAATAATATTTATTGATATACTCGTATATCTTATATTTTATTTAATAATAATATGCAGAACCAACTCCCCAAATTAGACCCATTATCACGAATTATTTCCTTAAATTTGGCATATCCACCTAAATTATTTTGTAAAATAAAAGTTTCGAACTTACTAGGTCCATACTTTATTCTATGAAATAATTTATGTGGAAATCATTTAAAATTTTATTTAGAACTATTACCTATTACTAAAAATTATAATTTGAATTTACCGCCATCTGTCAATTGTCATTTTAGCTCCTGCTCCAAACTCAAGGTGGCGCTAATTTGGTTTAAAAGTCTACCATTGGCGTGGGGTCTCTAGAAGATACGTGCTTTGTGGTTAAGGTAATCTTAATACATCTGCCTTGTATTCAGTAGCATGCATAAAGAATTTAACAAGTAAGGTTAGGTTATGTTCAGCTGGACGAGCAGTTTAGATTTTAGATAAATAAGTATAATATATACACAGATCCAGTCCTTTTAAATTATTAATTAGTGTTATATATTTATTGTATAAGTGACACTTTGTATAGCTTGATTTAAAATATAGTTTCACTTTTTGAGGAATTCTACAACAGAGCGTCTTTTCTTTTTCAGCAAGAAAATTCCAGTTGAAATTGCAGCGCCAATATAATAGCTTTGTTCGCGGTAACAATTCTGAACGGATTCAGAATTACTAATTCATACTTTAAGCGCATGCCCGAATCATTATCAATTCTGAATTTTTACCGCGCGCGCAATTCCTATTATATCTCGATGTTTCAGGTATAGACAAGCGGTTCAAAACCAATAGAAACCAATAGAGGACTTCTATACAAGGGAAGTGCAACCAACTTGACAAAATAAAATTGACACTATAATGACATAAGAAATCGGGTCACATAAAGAGGCTGTTTTTTAGTTTGATTTTTGGTTTTTCCTATCTACTTTCATGCCATTTGCATACCTTGTTGTACCCGTAACGTGAAAAAGACTTTATTTTAGGGTATTTTACATTTAAAGGTTGAAAACATTTGTCAATATCAGCTGTCGATAATGTCAAAACATAAGCGTAGCATTGAATTTTATTTTTTGTTGTTATTAGTCTAATTGTGTTTCTCCTGCTTTCTCGAAACATTATTTTTCATTTGGTTTTATTTATGTCGATTGCAAAATGCTGCTGCTACGAATACAAGTTCTATAAAATATACAACCAACATACAATACTAGTTACTTATGCCCATCTATGGTTACGCCTGTGTTCTATCATCAACATAATTGACAGCTGACAATGACAAAATATTTCAACCTTTAAATGTAAAATACCCTAAACTAAATAGTCTTTTTTACGTTACGTGTACAACAAGGTATGCAAATGGCATGAAAGTAGATAGGAAAAACCAAAAATCAAACTAAAAAACAGTCTCTTTATGTGACCCGATTTCTTATGTCATTAGTGTCAATTTTATTTTGTCAAGTTGGTTGCCCTTCCCTTGTATAGAAGTCCTCTATTATAATTTTACCGCGAACGCGGTATAGAACAATAGAACCAATAGTTCAGTTCTTTTTGTTCCGCGAACGCTTTTTAACTACTGCGCCTGCGAAATGGTTACAGTTAGCACAGAGGATGTAAGTACAGAGGGTAAACTTGGTGTGGAGGGGCTAAGTACGCGCAACTACGGCGCGCATCGCAATCGGCCATGTTCTAATTATAGCTCAGCTGC